ATTATAGTAGTACCGATAAGTTATTCTACAAATATCAGTAGTCTAGAAAAATATACCGAAAAAATCGATGGATGCGGAGCATCACAAACCCCAAGAAAGGGGTCAGACCAGGTACACGTGAAGGGTAAGCATCTGCTGCTGGCATGCCCCACCCGTCGTGATGTTCCAAATTCATGTCAGGGAAAAATTTCAAATCAAGTTTACTGGACAAACAACTCCACCAAGTCACAATGACAAACACGACCACAAACAAATCTGCAATCATGTTACAGACAGAAATCTCATAGGGAGCCACCAAATCATGATGTTGACCAAAAAAAACACACCAAAATGCACGTTTAAGTCGAGGAATCAGAAACCCCCGGCTTATCAACTTGGAAGTCAATAGCCGAGATCTGGTCTGGAAATCTGAATACATAGAACATGTTCTCGAGTAACGCACAAGCTGTGAAATATAAACTCTATAAATAAGCTGGTGGTGTAGGAATGTTTCTATTGATATATGGAAAGTTCACGATAGCAACATTAAAATCGTCACGCTTGTCATACAGCCTAGTATGCAGTTTTCCACTGCAGCTGTCAAATTCGAGTAGTAGATCAAGATATGAAGCAGAATTCAGTGTGTCTGTAGTATCCTTAATTTGAAGTTCATTAGGATAAATAGTATGTAAATAACTACTGAACTGGGGATTGTTCAGTGACAGAACATTATCAATATAACGAAATGTGAAACGAGTCAGTTTCTTAGCTCCATTTTTCATTAAACCTTCAATGAATTCCGCATCATAAGAATACAAAAACAAATCAGCAAGCAGAGTGGCGCAATTAGTGCCTATAGGAATACCAATAGTTTGCTGAAAGACTTGCCCACCACAAACAACAAATATGTTTTCAATGAGAAAATTAATCAATTTAACTAATTCTTCTTCAGTATACTTCTGTCTTGAATCTGTATGATTTTGGACAAAGTAGCAAGATATACGATTCAAGACTAAATACTTATATATCGACGTCTGCCAATGTTTGTAAAAGAAACATTGAAAAAATAAATCTTTAAGCCTGCTTATAAGTTGGGAATGTGGTATAGTGGTATAAAGTGTGGAAAAATCATATGTGTGTATATTATTAGTTAGGACGTGATACCGTAACCTCTTCTACATTCATTTGTTGTTTGTATATATCTAAGATTTGTGATGCATTTTGACTTGAATTTAGAGATTTCTCGGCAATTTTCAGTATCTTTTGGTATGTTTTTGGGCAAACATAATGGGCATATCCCACTCGCCATCAACACCACACTGACTTTATTTATGGCGCAAATGGCTAGGAATAAATCAATACACAGTGTACAGCATGTTTATGTCAGAATAGGCAAAAAGATCTAACAAAAATGTAGTGGTTCAATTGTTTTGACCTTGTTTTGAGTGAACTGACCACGATTGGTAACACTCAAGTCATCCACAACGACATACACTTTACAAGGCATGGATATAACTAAAGTTTGACTACATTGCGGTTATATTACGTCTCATATGTATATCACAATAATAACTGTCATGAAGTCGCCATTACTTTCTACTTACAAAGCCCAGCGTAATTTATTTCAATAGCGATGCCAATTCCCGTAGTTTGAACATAGGGCGTGAGTCATTTTAGAAACTATACTGAACC